AACCGTTGTTTTGAAGTATGTGTTATGCAATGTTCATATATCAAATTTAAACAAAGGTTTATTTTACAAATCTAGAGTAGATAGAGTTTGAATTTTCATATTGAAAAAATTTACATATATTGATTGGTGAAAAATCCGCACATATGAATTTTTATATGTGTGCTCAACTATGTTTGTGTTTATTATAATTTGTAACACCCCAATGTGTAACCCCCTTTATGACAGTGTCAAAATACTTTGGACTGCATGTATAATCTGGTCATTAAGCCATTTTGTTAACTGGGCAATTGACAGTGGTTTTACAGATAAAGATAAATCTCATCAAACATTTTATAAGGCTTTACAAACAATAAATATTGATCAACAAGCTTCTTTGGAACCTTGCAACTTTACACAAAAGCTTTTAAATAATAAAAGAAAGAAGGTAAGTTTATTTTACATTTTACTAGATAAACTTTTGAAAATTTTAAACATTTAATGAAGCATGTAGATGGAGCTTTTTTGCCAGGCTCTTGCAACTCTTTTGGGTACGTCCTGATTAAGAAGGTACGTCCACTGTAAGTAGCTGAATTGGGTGCACATTTCCTGGGTACGTCCTGGGAGATGCTTGGGTACGTCCTCCGCACCCAGCTGTCTGTGCTTCTTATTTTATTTGTTTACCATACTTTTGTTCTTTTGTTGAAAAGTTCGATATTGCAGCAGTATGTGAACTATGGGATAATGTTGCCGCAATCTCCAACGTGGATAAAGCAGTAAATGTGATCAAAGCACATATAAAACTAGACAATTTCACAAATCAGTGTGTGCAACAACTGATCTTGCCAGAAACTATGATAGGAAAAAGGCGAGATAAAATATATTTGGACAATGATCATGATGAAATATTAAAGAAGGTGGGATAATAATACAACTGTAAATTATTCTCAGGTTAAAACTTATACCTATTTGGGTTCTTGCAGGCTAAAACTACAAATAAAATTGATGTTCCAATTCTCAATGTCAAGTCCTTAGAAGGAACCTCCACTACTTTTAAGGTTGTTGCAGAAAATGAAACAGAGGCAAATAAAAAAAGTATGACCTTAAATTGTTATGGCCTACTGTTGTTAAATTACTGATTTTTGTTCTCAAACCTTCATAGGCAATAATCCCACACTGCAATCCTAGTTTCATAGGTTTCTGTTCTGAGGTGGGGATGTTGTTTGTTGACAAAACCATATATATTAAGAAGCTAGAAGAGGAAGGTTTGAGGTTCAGAATTCTTTTCCTTAGACCATGTAGATTTGGAAAATCAGCATTCCTTGATATGCTCTGCCAATATTATGACATTAAAAATGCAGACAAATTTTTTCAGCTTTTTGGACCACTTTATATTGGACAACATCCTACGAATTCACAAAACAAATGTTTAGTTCTTAAATTTGATCTCTCATCCATTAATGTTCATTCTTATAAAATGATGGAGGAAAGTTTCAATGGGAATGTTAATCATGTATTGTGAGATTTTGTTGAGAAATATGACGAAGAGCTGGAATATCCAGACATTGACAAATTAATTATCAAGCAAGCCTCTATATCTCTTCAAAATGTCATGGTAAGTTGTATTATTTATATTTCCATATTTTCTATATTTGTCTTGTATGCATGCTATTTAACATATATTAATGATCATAAAGTCTACTGTAAGCAAACAGTCTCAAAAACTGGGGCGCGGAAAATAGAAAAGGACCTAACAGCAAAATCATGATTTTGAGATAACTAAAAAAAGAGATTATGACCCAAAAATTCGGTATTCGTATATCATTTCCATATTTATAGTAAAAATAGGGGGATGTTTTCCAAACAAAATAATAACAATAATATAATGTAATAATATAAAATAAAATAAAAATAATTAAATAATTTACATTAAATAGAAAATTTTTTTATCAGAATTTTGAACATATTGAATAACATTTTCACGTATATATTTTTTTTGGTCAGGAGTTAAACCTACAGGATGCTTTTGTTCTAAAATAGGATCCATGATTAAATTTTTACTAATATCTATAAAATTAAATGTTCCATCAATCCTTTCTTTAACATATACAATTCCTGGTTGCTCTTGGTTAAAAATAAAATGATGATATTTTAAAATATTTGGTAATGGTTTAAAATATTTTTTTAAATATTCAGTCCAGTTGTGGAAAAAAACTTTTCTTTCACCAGTTTCATCATAAATGGTTTGGGCATTATTATACCCATTTGTTGATAATTCTACAACATTAACAAGATCTTCTAAATCATCAACTTCAGAATTTTTAAGTTCAATTTAAACAATCCAAAAAATCCATCAGGGCTAAATTTGGTATGGCCAGCTACCATAAAAGAATATGTAATTTTTTTATGCTTGCCTTTTAGTACCCGCCATGCCAAATATTGAATCATTGCATTGTTTTTATTTTGACCTGAGCAATTGTCTGCATGAATTATTATTTCTTCTTCACCAAGACTGTATTGTTCAAAATAATTATGAACTAAAGAAATCACAGTGTCAGCTCCTTTACCAACATGTTGTGATTCTTCTATAAGATAATTGATCTAAATAATAATTATATTGATTATATACTGTAGTTTAAAAATTGATTAATAAATTTTCAAAAAACAAATTATTAACCTGTCTGGGTTTGAAGTCTTCACAAATGCCAAATACTTGAACTTTATATAGGGCTTTAAAATATGAATTCCCCTGTTTATTTATTTAATAAATGTAATTTAAAATTTATTTACCTTTGAAAAATTTATATGCAAAAAAAGCACATACTGTACATACCACTTGTTGTGAAGAATATGGAATATGAACCTGTTCTGCAAAATCCCACGAAATATGAACTTTAACATCACATGTGTTTGCAGATCTAGTGGGATTTGAATCTTGTCCCAACCTCTCAAATGCCTCTTTTGCATCTTTTATACAAGACTCTAAAAATTAAAAATAAACTCAGCAAATTTAACAAAAAAACTACAATCATACATAATTAATACCTATAATATTCACGCTCCTTCATTGCCCATGTAATATGATTATTCCATTCTCTAACCTTCATTTCTTTTTCTTCTATTGTCCAATATTTTGCATTGAACCTGTGTTCTTTGCAAATATGACATAAATCACTTCTTGGAGTAAGAAATTTTATTTCTGGAAGATACATTTTCCATATGTTTTAACTGAAATATGCATTTCAGAATTTTCCTCAATTGCATCAATAAAATATTTAAAAACAGTAGTGTGATTTTGATCTGCTGGAAGGAATATAATATGTTTTGTGTCTTTTTTAAAACTTCTTCCTATAATAGATTACTTTAATTAACAAAATTTACTTTTTCAAATTAAATGTTGATCAAAAATCTATATTTACCTGGAGATGGGAGTCCATTTATATTAGAATAATTTAATATAAATTTAATAGTCTGTAAAACCCCATCAAATGATACTGCTCTATTGCCTACTTTTCCTGTTAATAAATTTGTTCTTAATTGTATATCAAAATTGTCAAAATGACTTCTGATATTTTTCCATCTTTTTTCACCTATACCATAGATGCCTTTGAATGCAGTTTTACAAATTTCTATTCCATCAAAATAATACACATTTGCTAATCTTCTTCTTTTTTCTCCTTTGTAAGTTTCTTTACCTCTCAAACTAGCAGAAAGAATACCTTTCAAAAAACTATCTTGTTCAGTTTTTCTTAAATCAAGGAAAGATTTATATCTAGTTTTAATGTCATTAAAATTTAATTTTTCTTTCAAACATTCTTCTAAACGGCAATTTTCATTCAGCAAATTTTCTACATAGTGGTTTATATCATGATCCATTTCTTCTTGTTCATCAGAAATAATAAACTCATCATCCACTATTTTATTTTTATTATAAATATCTTTAAAATTTTCTATTTGTTCTTTAGACAATATCTCTGTTTCATCATTGCTTTCTTCTTCTTCTTCTCCTTCTCCTCCTTCAATTAAGACAATTGTTTCATTTTTTTTCTCTTTAATATATGAGTTAGATTGATAATTTTTTTTAAGTTCAGCAAAAGC